ATCTTATATTCTCTAGCCTAAACTAACAGTAGCAAAATCATCTGTAGAAAAAGTTTAAAAATATAAAATAAAGTCAACAATACATCTTTTTTTTTAGTATAACAGCAGATTGTGTTCAAGATAAAACCAAATGAATATTACTACAACCATCATACAGTTATGTGAGCAAGATAAAACCAACTGAATATTACTACAACTATCATACAGTTCTGTGAGCAAGATAAAACCAACTGAATATTACTACAACTATCATACAGTTATGTGAGCAAGATAAAACCAACTGAATATTACTAGATCCATCATACAGTTATGTGAACAAGATAAAACCAACTGAATATTACTACAACTATCATACAGTTATGTGAGCAAGATAAAACCAACTGAATATTACTACAACTATCATACAGTTCTGTGAGCAAGATAAAACCAACTGAATATTACTACAACTATCATACAGTTATGTGAGCCAGATAAAATCAACCAAATATTACAATAACTATCATACAGTTATGTGAGCAAGATAAAACCAATGAATATTACTACAACTATCATGCAGTTATGTGAACAAGATAAAACCAACTGAATATTACTACAACTGTCATGCAGTTATGTGAGCAAGAAAAAAAACCAACTGAATATTACTACAACCATCATAAAGTTATGTGAGCAAGAAAAAAAACCAACTGAATATTACTACAACCATCATAAAGTTATGTGAGCAAGATAAAACCAACTGAATATTACTACAACTATCATGCAGTTATGTGAGCAAGATAAAACCAACTGAATATTACTACAACTATCATACAGTATTGTGAGCAAGATAAAACCAACTGAATATTACTACAACCATCATAAAGTTATGTGAGCAAGAAAAAATCAACCAAATATTACAACAACCATCAAAAGTTACTTGAAGAAGATACAAACCAACTAAACATTACTATTAGCATTATGAAATAATAGGAAAAATAAATGATAATGCTTCCACTACAAACAACAAACTTACAATATATTTAATAAAATTCAAACAAAGTTAAATGAAATGGAGAATGCAAATAAAATTCAAGTTTTAATATTAGATCAGTAATTGTTGTTACAATAATTCTTGTAAACATAACCAATCATGAAGCCAATAAAAATACTTAACAAGACAGATTTACCTATATTAAAACTGTACTTCTGAGGGAGGATTTATGGATAAAAAGTTTGTTTCTTATAAGGTAAAAATTATTATATGTTGATACATTGTTTCACAGTTTCAGATTTTTATTTGTTAATAGCACTTAATTTTAAAATTTCTTTATTATGAATAGTGCAAGATTTCATCATATTTTAAAAATTGCTGTGGTACTTATAACTTGCATGAATACTAAAATTTCAATATGTATTAGCTATTCCTTAAGACTAATCTTTAATTTCTTTAAAGAAAATCAGTATCTTTACTTGAAAACAGATAATGATTTAACAAAAACTAACACTGGTAAAACAAATCAAAAGAAAATTTCAAACTTCTATTATAATTACATGATTTAAAAAGTGATGAGTGTTGGGAAGACACTTACCATCAAATTCGGGAAAATAATCAACAACGTGAGAGTACATAATTTTTTCCTCTAACAAATCCTTCTTGTTTAGAAAGAGGATGACTGATGAATTTTGAAACCAGGGATATGTTATAATTGTCTTGAAAAGTGCTTTACTTTCTTCCATTCGATTCTGAAAAATTAACAAAACTTAACATATTTACATTTAAGATAAATTCCTTTATCCACTTTAAACCTAGCTTTTAGGTACTAAAGCTAAAACTAGATATTAAATTACACCAAAAACTAGATATTAATTAAAACAAATCAAATCACTAAGGCAACATGTCTACATATGCATTTAGATACACATAACCATGTGATTGTTCTGCTACTGGTCCACTGATACTGCAGATCTAGGGAGTTATAATATAAATGAATGATTCTCACAAAATATGGAAAACTGTATAATATCACAAAAACAAAAATGATGAATGCTAGAGTGTGAATCTGTAAAAGAATGTGCTTCTATAAGACAAAAAAGCATAATGCTTTTTGTAACATGTTATTGTGAAGTTTATTTCTTTATAACTAAAAAAAATGTCAAATATCAGAAATTATTTATGAATTTTAACTGGTAAATGTTTTGACAATTATAGTTCTGGAAAACCACATCTATATATAATACATGTTATATCAGTGTTACAGCTGAAAACTTGTGTTCATGTAACACAAACTTGTCTGTGTGGAAAAAAGTGAAATAAACTAGCACTCATATATTACATCTGAAAATTGAAATATTAAACTATACTATAAAATATCACTATTTACAGATAATAAATAAAAGATCATAGCAATAGTTAAAGTAAAAAAATGTTTGACTGTTTGCTCAAAACTGCAATATTTAGATAGTATAGGTAGAGACATGGTCAATCTTAAAAAGTTCTATAAAATCCAGTTGAAGAGGAGTTTTGAAATAATGAAGGAAGATCAACATAACATATATTAAATTGAAGAATAAATTATGCTTCTTCAAGCGATTCTTGGCTACATACTTATATATTAGGTCGTTAAGAAATTAATGTCGCTTTTTTTAATGAAAAACCCAAATAACTTATATATCAAAACAAAACACTTATTAAATGAAATAGTCTCCATTTTTATTGATG